GCGTTAACAAAGTCATCAATGCACGTTCTTGCGTTAACAAAGTCATCCAATGCACGTTCTTGCGTTAACAAAGTCATCCAATGCACGTTCTTGCGTTAACAAAGTCATCCAATGCACGTTCTTGCGTTAAAAAGTCATCCAATGCACGTTCTTGCGTTAAGCAAGTGATCCAATGCATGTTAGTGTGTTAACAATGTCATCCAGTGCACGATCTTGTGTTAACAAAGCCCTACAATGCACGTTCTTTTGTTAACAAATTTATACAATGCTCGTTGCTATATTAACAAAGCCTCCCAATGCACGTTGTTGCGTTAAAAAGTCATCAATGCACGTTCTTGCGTTAACAAAGTCATCCAATGCACGTTGTTGCGTTAAAAAAGTCATCAATGCACGTTTTTGCGTTAACAAAGTCATCCAATGCACGTTCTTCTGTTAAAGTCATCGAATGCGCGTTCTTTAACGCAAGAGAAGATACTTGTTTTTTCTTATTTTTATATACTGATTCCATGCTTTGGTAAACCACACGATAGGTATATTAAGTAATTTGTTTTCAGAATAGAAATTTGAATAAGGATTATAATTAACAATTTATTATTGCTGATGGTTTATAGGGTTTTGCTTGATATGGTTTATAATTAACAATTTATTATATTTATCCAATGCACGTTCCTGTATTAACAAAGTCATCCAATGCACGTTCTTGCGTTAACAAAGTCATCTAATGCACGTTCTTGCATTAAAAATGTCATCCAATGTATGTTAGTGTGATAACAAAGTCATCCAGTGCACGTTCTTGTGTTAACAAAGACCTACAATGCACGTTTTTTTTTATTTAACAACAAAAACAAGAGAACAAAGAACATTTAAATTGTCATCCGATGCATTTAAATTGTCATCCAAAGTCATCCAATGCACGTTCTTCTGTTAACAAAGTCATCCAATGCACGTTCCTATATTAACAAAGCCTTCCATTGCACGTTCTTGCGTTAAAAAAGTCATCCAATGCACGTTCTTGCGTTAACAAAGCCATCCAATGCACGCTCTTGCGTTAACAGAGTCATCCAATGCATGTTAGTGTGTTAACAAAGTCATCCAGTGCACGTCTTGTGTTAACAAAGCCCAACAATGCACGTTCTTGTGTTAGCAAAGTCATCGAATGCACGTTCTTGAGTTACAAAGTCATCCAATACACATACTTGTGTTGACAAAGTCATCCAATGCATGTTAGTGTGTTAACAACGTCATCCAATGGACGTTCTTGTGTTAACAAAGCCCTAACATGCACGTTCTTGTGTTAGCAAAGTCATTCAATGCACGTTCGTGTGTTAATAAAGTCAACTTTGGCGATGCAACTAAACTAACAGTCAAATTTGAAACGCAGAATAGTATTCAAAGACGGCGCAATTAAATTTAAATCTAAGCCGGCTCAGAACTTTCAATCCGTATATCAAGTTAAAATGTCGGTAGTAATAACGAATGCCGAATAATTACAAACTTATCAGATCAGGCGGGAATTAGCGTAATGTGCTCCGAAAGGCAGAAACACACTCTGTCTTAATGATCCCCAAACCCAATCTTAAATACTATGTAACTGATTTGCAATTTGGTGAGGAAACAGAAAGAAGAAGTTACAGTAAAGGTTTATATTATAAATAACTGGTTAGTTTCAAATAATAACCTCCCAAGTTTATTACTAATAAAAATCCGTAAAGCGTTCGATTTAAGACATAGTCAAGTGCTGAAGGAGAATTAAACTGATTGCGAATCAAGTGGACATTATTAAAAAGAAAGAAAAAAAGAAAATTATGAAAGCTTTTAGCATTTTATAGTACATCCACAGCGGTTTTTTTCCCCCAGTTACTCAGGCATACACGTATCGAGAGCATCTGGGCTTATGCTCATTAGGGCTAAAAATATTTAAAGAATGCGTATCTTTAGAATTTCTGATAGACAGCCTCGTGCGCTGGAGATAAAAATAATGTATTCCGTACAGTGTGTTGGCACTGCTGGCTTTGAAATCGTTGAGTTTCTTAATCAAAAATTCGTTAGAATTTTAAAAAAAAATGTGAAATAGATAATAAAAATATACGACATTCAAGATTCGGACTTCCAGGTGCCTATATTCGGGTGGAGTATTACGTTATTCAAAATTTGATAGCTGTAGGTATCGTTGTTTTTTCACAATGCGAGAAACATACATACATTCATGCAAATCTTCATTAATTAATTCTTTTAAATATAATACAAGGCGATAACATGGTGGCAACAACGTGAAAAGTGATACAGACATTTAATAGTGATTCGACGCAAAATGCCGTTTTGAGACTAACAGCCCTTATGGGTTACCTCCGCTTTTGGCTAAAAAGAAACGTTAAATTTATTTATCGCGAAAAAATTGCTATTACCAACTGTCAGATTAAAATCAAACTGTCTAATGAGAATGAAAAAGGGAAAAGAAAAATTAAATTGTCTTCTCATGCAATTTATAACTTAGCTTTGTCATTTCTAATGATATTTATTCTTTCATTATTTCATTATTATTCATAAAATTGCTCTTACAGTCTGCAAAAAATAATAAGCCGGATCCAATTCGAAGATTAAGGAACAATGCAATCATCAACATTAACTGAAATAGATAATTAGATAATTTTAGATTATACCGTCCGTTATACATAAAAGGCGCACGCGAAAACGTATTCTGCGCTTGCGCACACGCATATGCGAAGTGATAAAAGATCTTTACCGCGCACGCGTAAAACGCCTATGCACATGTGTCAACGCGGCGCATACGCAGAAAGTTTTTAGCTTTGAGGTCCGGATTATAGATCATTCCGGATTATGGGTGTCCGATTTAACGACTTTTGACTGTACATCATTAAATGGAGCCATTGATATTTTAAGAGCATTATTTTATTATTTATTAATTATAAGTTTATATTTTTAATTATAATTTATTACGAAATGTTATTACGAAATGTACAGACGCGGTAAGATGGCTTCCCCACAAAGCAGTTTTAGGGTTGCCATAAAATGGCAAGGGAAGGCAGCGTTGCCACATTTGGCGATAAATCATAACAATATTTATAATAATAATTAAGTTACTAATATTTTAAGAATATTATTATTATGCACTGGTTTCATTAGTTGATCCCTTTTGAGAGTTATCTCATTAAAACATTTAAATTTACTTCATTACCAGTTCAAAACATTTGTTTTCCACTCAGACCTAGTGGAATGTTTTAATGTAATTGATACGGTAACTTTGCAGCAATAAATCATTGTACTTACAGAATCAATTCTCCGTGACATTATCACCTTCAGCATTCACGCATTTCTGTATTCGGTGCTGCCATTGCTGGTAACAGTTTTGGAACGAGGTTTTCGGAAGGCTCTTTAGGAGATTCTCCGCTTTGGCTGAATCTCTTCTGCATTGTCCTGGTGCAACAGCTATCCACCACTCCACAACTGTGGTCTTTTTTCCTAATTTTTTCACAATGCGAGAAACATACATACATTCATGCAAATCTTCATTAATTAATTCTTTTAAATACAATACAAGGCGATAATATGGTGGCAACAATGTGAAAAGTGTTACAGCCATTTATAGTGATTCGACGTAAAATACCGTTTTGAGACTAACAGCCCTTCTTCATTTTATGTGGTGTAAGTCTTTTTAGAACTTCAATATAGCAGTGCTGATTAACAGTCTGTCCGAATCACTTTTTAAATTATTGTCACCAATATATACTATTTCAAATAATAATAATAATAATAATGAAGAAGAATCTCTATGTATGTATGTACGGTTCTTGTACTGTTCAAAAAATAATAATAATAAAATAATATAATAATAAATAAATAAATAATAATAAATAAATCTGAAATGTTTCAGATTTTAAATTACGTCCAAAGGGGCGTTTTTTAACATTTTGTGTGTTACCTTTCTTTATTAAATATCATGTTCCTCCGCACTTCAAACCATAAGATCCAGTGCAACAGCAATATCGCAAAATTGTTTTAAAACGAGCATATCTTAGAATTTCCGATACAGAGACTCACGCGCTGGAGATAAAATGTTTTTTTCTGCACACACGTTGCCATTGCTCGCTTTGAAATCCTTGAGTTTGTTAATCAAAAATTCGTCAAAGTTTTAAAAAATAGGAAATCGATCATAAAACAAATTTCAAATTTCAAATTTGGTCTTCCACATACTCATATTCGTTGGAGAATTACGTTATTCAAAATTCGATGACTCTATGTACCGTTGTTTTATCACAATACGAGAAATATACATACATTTATGCAGATTTTTCATTATTTAATTTCTTCAAATATAATGCAGGACTATAACATTTTGTGGCAACAGTTTGAAAAGTGAACCGACATTTATGAGTCCGACGCAAAATGCCAAAACGAAACTAATAGTCCTTCGGGATTCAAATCCCTTTGGACTAAAAATGGCACCACGTAATTTTTACCGTGTAGTCCAGTAGCTGGAAGCTCGAATTTTGAATTTCGAATTTTATATCGAATAATATAATTTTTTTATTAACAGATTCAGCTATTTGAAAAAGAGAAGTGGATAATTTGTCGAACACTTTTATCTCCAGCAAGCCATACGACACGTATCTTGTAGTTTTAATCAACAAACCCGTTTATTTGAAAGCAATGAATTGCCACTTCCGGAAACAAAATACTTTTACCCCCCCCCAGCGTGTTGTTATTCATTAAAGCCTAAGATATCTTGTAGGGTTTCGCTTAATTTGAATAACTAATTATTCTAATTTTTGTTAGCATTTCCGAACTTTTAAACTTCCCCTCGCATTCGTCGCCAGGTTGCAAATTAAGTTAAAATGAAAAGAGTATTTAAACGGGCGAAAAGGGAAAGTTAAATCAGATCATGATTTCGCTAGTCAGCGCACGTTACTATTTTGTCCTTTCGGCTGTTATGCCTTGTGGCCGTTTAGTGAAAAGTCGATCGCGGGTGTAGGTAACTGAGTCAGCTTGTTAGTCTTAAATAGTCTAGAACTACTGTTTACCATTTAAATTTATTGTTAAATTATTCTTAAGCTCCCACCGCAAATAGTCGGTGTTATTGTGAGCACGAAGAAAGTGCATTTTTGTTAAGAATTTGACCAATAATTAACGGTTTGTTTGACCCTTCTTCTGTGCTGGTATTATTCCCGCCTGTGCGCCAGGTTTCCTAGTAAAATCGTACTAACTTGTATGATAGTTAGATCATATTTCGGTTATATCATATTTCATCTGGAAGGTAGTTATCGAGTAAAAAACTAAGCGATTTAAAAGCAATAAAAACAGTTCTTAAAAATATTTTTTCAATTTTTTAATATGATTGGTTTATGTAAAAATATATTAAAATTATAGGATATCCAATCAGAAATATTCAATATTTTTATGAAATTACTCTAGCTGGGATCAACAAAATCATTATATAAACTTTTTATTTATTTATTTTTTTTTTCATGCCGAGCGATCGTCTGTTTTTTTAAGAAATACTATAACAAACATAAAAAAGTACCTGGCAATCCCTAGCACTCAATCGAGAATTTTAAAGATATGCTGTTTTTAAATATTATGTGATTTTTCTGTCGCATTTAATGTGGTGTAAGCACGAAGAACATGATACTTAATAAAGTTAAATGCACTAAAATTAATAATACAAAAACAAAATTGTGTTTCGAGTCAGTAAGAAAACTGATTTGAACATTGATATAAAGAAATGTGAAAAGCCAGAGGGGGTTGGAAACTGAAGATAGAATCGAACATACTCTAAATAAAAGAAAGAAATAAAATCTGAAAGGATTCAGATTTTAACGTAGCACCAGAAGATTGGTTAATGTATTTAATGTTCTCGTTGAGCATCGCATTTACCAATTTGCTCTTGGACACACTGCTGCTAATACAATTTCTTTTTTTTTGTCTTTCTGTTTTATTATTAAGTATTGCTTTCTTCGTGCTTATGTCTCGTCAACTTCAAAAGCAAAATCCCAAAATATTTAAAAACAGCATATCTTTAGGATTCCAAATAGAGTGTTAAAGGTTGCTAATATGTAAAAAGTATAATATTGGAATTTCGAATTTTTATAAGCGATTCAAAGTCCTATATGAGAATTTTTCTTGTTAAGACTGCTTTACAAGTAAGTAAGTCTAAATATATTGCCTCTCGAAATTTCAGGATCATCTTATATGAAGAGTTTTTTGTGCGTTTGTTAAATTTTAATATCTTTGTTTCTCACGTTTCGACCAAACAAAACTAAAACTGGGATAAAACGATGTTGTCGATGACGTATTAATTATCAGGAGGAATTCCGCTGCGTTTTCTAAACTCCACGGTAGGCGGAGAATCATTGACAAAAACTGTTCACGTAAAAGTTATTTCGATAAAACATGCAAATGGCTCCACATTCTCCTGGGCGTCTTCTGCAGTCACGCAAGCGAAACATTCCGAAACCATTTACGGGGCCCATTTTGCATAAAAAGACGGATATTCAAATCATCGGGTTCGACTCTCCCCTCTCAGTATCCATGACTTGTTTATGGATTAAAATTAAAGCGCTCGCGGATCAGCCCTCGTGACACCAATCGGGACTCGAGGCCCCGGGTTAGGTTCTTCTGGAGCTTCCGGAATAGAAAAAAAGTGAATGGCAACGGAAGTGGATTTTGTTTCATAACATTGGGATTCCCAATGCTTCCCAGGAGCCTACTGACTTATTTTTTTTATTTGCTTCTTTCTTGTGGTCTTTTTTTGTAGCTGTTACGTGAATTAGGTTGGGAGGCTCGTGTGGTGTATAAAAATTCACAGACCGCGTTGGGAATGGACATTATCTGCACTGGGATCATTGACTACACGCTCAGGTAAGTGCTGCCATTTTCTACCGAAAAGATATTGCGTTGTGTAGAAATAGCTCTTTTAATGCTTCTTGTGTTACACTTAATTTTTTACTATTCTGATCGAAGACATATACAGATATTCATTTATTATTAAACTACTAAGTTAACTTGCTTAGTAGACTAGATCTACGACCACTACCAAGTTATAGATTATTTATAAATTATACTGTTTTAATTGCTACAAAATATACTATTTCTCTAGAAAAGCGAACATTTAAAAAGCAGATAACACCGATAGTTAGAAAATAATCCATTCTAAAGGAACTGATTTGTTTGATGTTTTTCCGTTATTAATACATAATTTTTGTGGCGTTTTTAGGAAGTTCTTGGTTTTATTTATATATTGGAATTATTATGGAATTTTTATACTTTCATTTCAGTAATGCTCTTCATTAAGCCAATGAACCAAAAAGCATTTATTAACCTTCATGGGAACATATAATCAACCTGAGAGATATCTAAAATGCGCATAATCTTTTTTTAGTTTTACTTTAGAACTCATTTATTTTGTAAGAGATATTTAAATAATATTTTGATAAAAGTGTAATGCTCCAAGCCGGAATATATTCTTCTGTAAGATTTTTAAAGATTATTTCAATGAATGCATAATTTTTAAAACTTTTCTGCCCGAATACTTTAATTTTACGAGAGACTTCAAAAGAACATTTATATAAAAAAAATTCTTTTTGTAATAAAAATTTTAGAATTAAGACGATTCTCTTCTAAAGAAAAGAAAACAAAATTTAATGAAATAGTTAACTTGATTTATATTATATATATTTTACGTGATATTATATATATTTATTTATATTTAATATTTTACGTGAAGGGCATATGTGAAGGGAAGTATCGTGTCATACGATGCGCGCACATTTAAAAAATATTATAGAATTCGTGAAGAAAAACATTTAAAATTGAATAATAAGTTTTAAAGATTGGCAACAGCTTGTTAGGGATGCCAGAAAATACAAAGATGATTGACATATATTTTATTTGTAGTAAAACCGGGTTCAAGATTTCACCGATTCTTCCAAACAGCTTGTTATATTTTATAATTTTTCGTTTGTGAAGCTGTAATGATGTAATTATGTTTTTCATGTAATAATTGTTTAGTTGTGCTTTCTAAGCGTACTTATTCATTATACACTAATCAGATAACTTTTACACTACCTGTTTTGCAAAAGAAGTTGAATAAAATGCAGTTTTATTACCGTGTATAGACAAAAGCTATTTTAATTTTATGTTTGCTACGAAAACCTAAATTATATCGAAGTGTTTTTAAATTTGCAAGTTAGGTAGAAATGTTAATATATGTGTGTGTTATATATTATCAGTTAATTGTAACAGTTTAAAGACCATCGCAGAACTGTTTTTCCAAATTAGACAAAATATTTTGAAATTTTTAATATTAAACTTTGAATACATAATCAGTTCAAATTTCTTCTTTATACTGAAATATGTAGAACTGGAAAAGTGAAAAATTTTGCTAAAATAATAATAATTAAAGCTTTTTCCCTTAAAAGATCTTTTATTTTTTGAAGTTTATTGTTGACCTTTAGAAGACAGTTGCGTTAAATTAACGGGTTTTTGAGAACTTTTAAAACCAATGCATGGAGAATACTTTAATAAAGATAAAAAAGTCGCTTCTCTTTTGTTATCGGACTGGGTTCAGAAATGTATGCATGTATGCACGTGTGTATGTAGATGTAGGTTTGTGTGTATATATATGTGTGTATATGCATACATAGGTACGTACCTACATATATATACATGCATATATGAACACATATATCTATCTATACATGTACACATATATACAATTCTGAAGCCCGTCCCGATAACAGAAATGATAACAAAAAAGCACCAAAAAGTATAAAAAACATCGAATTCCGTTCTTCAGTCAAACTTCAATAAGGAAATATCTAATAAAGTTATCATTTTCATTTTTCCATTGCTCTTCATCTACGTATATATTAATTAAATTTCATAATGAGGAGTAGTATTATAAAATAGAAATATTTACAAGATATTTCGGCCTGCAGCTTTATTTACAGAATGTTTCAAAATGCAAATAAATATACTGTCACATAGCTGTCCACTGCAAGCTGATTGCAGATAGATGAACAATTATTTAAAATTGTTTTCTGAGCAATTAAAATAAAGGCCAATTTTATAAATTTTAGAATTTTTTAATATTTGCTCAATTTTCAAAGAGTTATTTTCTGTTACGTTAATCAATAATAAATGAAGCAATTTTCTACAAGTTTCTAAAATCAAATGGACATAATTTAAATTAAAAATTTAATGTACGACGTCTTGTGCTTTTAATGTATCCTTGAAATGTATGAGGCTCCATGATATTTAATTTCAAAAAATTATCTGGAAATGCTGTTTTTATGATAAGAAATGTTTCAACTATTTAACAAGTTTCAACTGATAAGTTTTAAATATGTAGCAGAGGGGGGAATACTTTCTGTTCTAACTTACTATGTCTTACAGTATTCTATCGTTTATCTTTAATTTAAAAAAAAAAAAAAAAAAAAAAAAAAAAAAAAAAAAACAAAAAAAAAAAAAACTGTTTCCTAAGCTGCTTACATTGAAATTTAAGTGTGTTTGATACTTTTTCTGCACATAAAATTTAACAACAATAAATTAATCTAAATTTAATGGCAAACAGTCTTGATAAAAATTTACAATGAGCTAAATTTTATAAGGTATTTCTCCCGCCTTCCTAGCATGCCTACGTAGTGTAGTGGTCTGCACGCGCCCAGCGTGCAGACCACTACACTACGTACGTCCCCCTTTAAAAGGGGAAGTATATAAGGTATTTCTCCCACCTTCTTAGCATGCCTCCGTAGTGTAGTGGTCTGCACGCTGGGCGCGTATCCCAGAGGTCCGTGGTTCGATTCCCGGCGAGGGCATTGCTCATTTTTCAAGTCTTCTGCTTCCCAAAAACGCTAATGTCTCTACAATTTAAGCCATAAATTAAGAGAAACGCAACGGTTTTATGTTTTATTTATTTATTTATTTAGTATCAGTTTATCTAAACAAGGAAATATTAAAATTTGAATTACATTCCTATTATCCTATTCCTACAACTAAAATGATGACAGATTTCAGACTTAGGTTGCGAAAAAACGTATATTATCACTTCCTTTAATGTTTCTATCGACATTTTCGGAGTCTAAGCATGACTTTTGATAAGTTGCGAATATTAAAAAGAAAATTAATTTCATCTTCAAATATTTGCAGCCATATATGACATTAATCTATCTAACTATGCAGAATTGCGTTTCATGATCCCCCTTCACGAGTAATATAAATGCCAGTCAATATGTCTTGGAAAGTGTTTCCTGAAATCATGTCTTCTAAAACAGATAATCCTTGCTTGCTTTCCCATAATCAATAAACCAACTAACTCTTCAGTAATTATAAATTATGCGTTTGATATATATGATCATTCTAAATTACACTGTTAGTTATAATGGGCTATTGACATATTTCAATATATCCTTTAAACACAATGCAATAACTTTGGTTTCTGTAATATCATTAATTTAGTTTATTGTACTTTTACTACACAGTGGCTCCCAAAAGTGTTCGTACACTTTACGAATTTGTAGAAAATTGCTCTAGTTCAAAATTAAATTCGAATACAAAGCCCAATAACTTTTGCATATCATCTGCACGCGATTTTGAATAAAATTAAACTTTTTTCTTTAAATACTGACTTATTTTTTTTTTCTAAAATTGAAAAATATAAGGAGGCATAGAGAAAACGTGCAACAAAAGTGATCGTACACACAACATTTTCGTAAAACTTCATAAATAAACTTGTAAAATGTTAGGTTATTTCGACGCAGGAGACATCGAAAATGTGTAATGCCCTTGCCGGGAGTCGAACCTGGACCTCTCAAATACACGTCGAGTGGGGTGCCGGTACAGCCTGAAGGCCATGCTTGAAGGAAGCAGAAACTACAGTTTGCACCTTTTTTCATTTTTTCATTTTGATGACGTTTAAAACTCCACTTGGCTTTACTCTCTGCTCGCTTAGCTAGTTATATTTTATTTAATATTTAAAAATGGGTCGTAGTCGTAAGAAAACAGCATATATCATTCAAAAATTTATCATTTTTCATCATAAGGGTGGAAAATCGATCTCGGATATCGCGAAATTAATAAATTTATCCCATTTCACAGTGCAGTATGAGATAAAACGCTTTAAAGAAGAAAATCGAATCGAAATTAAAGTAAAAAAATCTGATGTGTACACCACATGACTTCCTTGTACGGAATATTAAATTATACGCATTTTTTCTTGCATTTTTATTTAAACTTATTAGATTGAATTAAACCTACTTCGCCGACAGCACATAAACCACAACAGAATAAATGCATTCTTTAAAATTCACTTTGTTTACCATAGCGACCTCTGGCGCTAGGTTTACTTAACAGTATTGTAGTATTTCATTCATATTATAACTCAGAATGCACAAAATGTATATCATTTAAAGAATTATCTAATCGTTGCCACATGTTCTATTCAAATACTGTAATCAAGCTAGAACTATGTATAAAAGAAATTAAGCAAATAAAACATAAAAGAAACAATTTTTCACAGAGGTTTGAGTATTTCTCATTTAATAAATTCAGTTCTTACTTCGCGAGAAGGCAAAAATACATAAAAATTCAAAATATCTATATTAAAAATTACGAAGTAAATATCAAACGCTTATTTCCTCGAAAAAATTCCAGAAAGAATTAAGCATGATTTAATTGGCAATAATAAATGAATGCGTTATCTTTGTTGTTGCGAAGCTAAGTTTCTCTACATTGGCAACAAATCCACTTTCCTGCTGTTTCAAATGTAAACAAGCAATGGCCGCCATCAAAAAAATTATTAGGTTTAGCGGCACTTAAACAACTTTAAAATTGTTGATAATTCTAAAAATATTGTATACAGA